TAAAAACGTGATTGTTTCCTGTTCACCTTATTTAGTAATGCTGCTGCAAACTACTATTAATTTAGGATTTCCTTTGATTACATTTTTGTAATTGCAAATTATTTTTTTATCTTGCACTCTTTTAGGACATGAAAAAAGGAAAAATAGATGAAGGAGCGGTAAGGATTTAAATTTGTACAATTTTGCATATGGCAAAACTGTATTTTGTTTCACTCCAAGATTTTGATCAATTACTTTCAGAAAATGTGAACCATAAGATGGTTATTGTTATTAATGGTTGTGAATATTATTGCATAATACTGTAATTTTATTTTGTAATTATTTTGTCCCTTCAAGGCAACCTTACGGATGAAGACCACCCTGGAGGATGGCAAAATGGACCCTGTAGCATACCGCATCAAATTCACACCTCACCACAGGAGTGGAGATGAATGGTACTTAGCTAATTAAGAGGGTATGGGTGGGGTTTCCTGGAGATGAAACTGATAGTGCGGTGCAGACAAAGTCATAAGGTAGTATCCCAAAAGAATAAAAAAATGCTTGATCTATATATCCATTGGTTATGAGTAAAGGATCAAATCTTCTCAGGAAAAACAGTTTCACTTGAAACTAACAACATTCAACCAAGAAGAGTTACTGAAAACTTGTGAAAGCAGAAAGGGGGATTTAGGATCTACAAGTAGGCTGTATCATAGACATTTATCAGTGCAGTAATACTTGAAAGCCGTTAACAGTTTGTGACATTTCCAGGTGTATTTATCCAACATATGACTTTACTCACTGTCTCTGTGATTCAGTGGAGGATATCTCCCATTCACTCTGCACTAAAGAGTTTCAGTCCAGGTGGGTACTGTAAAAATAATGTACAAATTAAATTGTGTCACAGCACTTCTCCCCTATGTTTCCTTTGGACTTTTACATTATTGAGCTGTTCTAATAAGTTTTACTTCCCAAGGTTTGGACACACACTCTCACTCACTCAATACTCTTTGTTCGTGGCGGAACATAGGTCATCCACTAGTGTCCACCACCTGACTCCTTTTTGTGCAGTATATTTCACTTCCCACCATGTGAGCTGTTTCTTCTCCAACTCTGCCATTCTTGTGTACCTCCAGGTCTGCTGGGGTCTCCCTCATTTGTGCTTCCCCTGTGGGTTTCACTCTATGGCCCTCTTGGCTATGTATCTGTCTGGTGTCCTCAGCATGTGCTAAGCTTTTTGTCTTATCTCTCGCCCCACCGGTTGCTGCCCTGCTTGTCTCCAAAGCTCTTCATTGCTTATTTGTCTGGGCCACCAATTCCTCAGGCTCTTATTGCTTAACACTTGCAACTTCTGCTTTAATCCTTTCGTCAGTCACCAAGTTTCAGAATCATACAGGGGCACAGCCTTCACATTTGACTCAAAGACTATCAACTTGCTCTTGGTTTTCAGTGGTGTGCCTCAACATCGCAAATGTCTGCTTTGTCCTCACAATGCGTGTCTGGATGTCCTTATCAGTATCTTCCTTCTTGCTCAGACACACAGTCCAACTTAACGCACAACATCACATGCAACAAGTCAAAAACAGAATAGGGGTGGACAGATGTGTATTTTTGCATGCTTTCCTGTGAATGTTACAAGTGTAAGAATTGTTTGGGCAGGCAGAATTTTTTAATGCAAATTTATCCAGGCAGACTGTTAATTGAACAACAGATTACTGATAGGCAAGACACGTAATAAGTCACAAGTTCTATCTTTGACAGCCATGGTTTAATTAGTTATGTCGCAGAACTTTAACTGCTTTCACTGTTTTTTTTTAACAGACGTTCATCATACTACTGGCTGTGTAATGCTCTTGACATTTACTGCCCTGTTCAGTGGGAATATGGCAGGTTGAACTTGAGTTACACTGTTGTGTCCAAGAGAAAAATTGGAAAATTAATCACGTCAGGAATTGTTAGGTAAGAAAAAGGGTTCTACTGCAGTGACAAACTTTTACTGGATTGTAAGAAAATGTCAACCCCAGCTAGGAGAAAAGTTTAAGTAACAAAGTTAACTGAGACACTTCAAAACACTTGAGCGATATTTTAGACCTGCTTTATGCCACCTTCAGGAGGATTAACTTTCATTGTGTACGGGACTGGGGACATGCTAAAAATTTAATAATGAAAGCACTGTATACAATGACCACTGTGTACAGTGAGCAAATTCCTTATTTTGGATATAGTTTAAGGGGTTAATAAGACATCAAATATTAATCAAAAGTCAAAGAAAGTGTTGTACAAGTCATGTACATGTGTGGTTTTAGTAGTCAGAGTCTTTGCTACCAAAGGATACTGCTTTATTTTGTTTTTCTTTTCCCTTCAGAAGGTGGGTTAAGTTAATGAAAGTGCTAGATGTCGAATTGTGGTGTGCACAGTTTTATTTGAATGTACTATGATCTTTGTTCAGGGATTGGGATGATCCAAGGCTGTTTACTCTGACTGCTCTAAGAAGAAGAGGTTTTCCTCCTGAAGCTATCAACAAATTCTGTGGCAAGGTAACAGTGATCGATATTTCAGTTCTTGTATTAATACCATTGGTGATGATGATGCCAAGAACAAGGCAAGAAGAAGGGGGTAGGATGGTAGAGGAGGACCAGAAAGAGGAGAAGATGAACAAAAACTGGGGGAGAAGGAGGAGGAGAAGGAAGAGGTGGACAATGACAAGGATGAATATGATGAGGATGATAATGATGATGATGATGATGATGATGACGACTCAAGATTTTGATAAATGTTTTCAGCAGGAAGGCAGCTGGTTTTTGCAGGCAGGCAAAACCTTTGAACTAATAAAACTTCTTTACAAGAAAAAATTTCATCCAGTTGGTCAAACAGGGCAGGCGAAATCATCCTTGGATCTGGTCAATTTGCAAGTGCCCGGCCCTGAATGAAACCCCTGTGAGTATGGCAAAGATAGAAAATCATTGTATTATTCACTGTATTTAATTTTTTTACTAGGTTGGTGTGACAATGGCTCAGACAGTCACAGATCCACTGCTTCTGGAGTCCTGTGTGCGAGATGAACTAAACATCACTGCTCCTAGGTATAGAATACTCCAAACCAGTCACCAAACCAAATGTTCTCCAAACCCAAGGTTTTTACAATTTCTTTTTATTAACTTTTAGTTTTCTTTCTTCAGAGTGATGGCTGTGCTTGAACCACTTAAAGTTACAATCCAGAATTTTGACAAGGTACCACAGCATGTTATTCATTTAGGGTACTTTAAATTTCATGAAATTAGAGCTGAAAAATTCAGTGGAAAATTAAAATTTGGGGAATATAAAAAAAAAAGACAACAACAACAATCAGACCTTACATGTAAGTAAAAGCCAACGACATGTTCCAAGATCTCCACTGGTTGGAAATACCTACTTGACTGCCAACTGACTGTTCCAACCAATGTACAATACATCCTGTACAATGATTTCTAAACCAAGCTAGGTAAACATTATCAATGGTGTCATCATGTGGGATAATATTAACTGAAAACATATTATAATTTTTTTCTCAGCAAGTCAAGCTCAGTGTACCAAACTTCCCCCAGGACCCAAGTAAAGGGAGTCACGAGATTGCATTTGAGAAAACTATCTTCATTGAACAAACAGACTTCAAAGAGGTTAGATTAATGTTAACGAAGATCTCAGTTTTTCAATTGAAAGTAATGATTCATGTAACGCTCAAATGTAGTGATCTTCATTAGCTAATATTGAGATGGTCACTCAATGACTCACACACTTCTCAGTTTGTGTTTCTCTCTGAAACTGAATTGAACCATTTTTCTGTCTCTGAAAACATTTTGACTTTATTTTCAAATGTCTATTTTAGGTGTCAGAAAGGGGCTTCCGTCGCCTTACTCCTGATCAATCTGTTGGACTTAAGTATGCTGGTCTGGTGATTAAACTTCATAAAGTTGTGAAGGTATGGCATTTCAGATGCAACGTAAGTTAACATTAATTTTTGTAGTCATCATTCTGTCACTGATTATCCATTTGTGTGAACACTAAGTGATAAATAGTTGTTTCAAGAGTGCTGCAAGTCATTGCAAGTTGTAATTTTTATCTTGTATGGACCTTTTTTTTGTGGTAGGATTCCAGTGGCAAAGTTGTCGAATTGTTGGTCAACTGTGAGTCAACAGAAACAGCTCCGAAACCCAAGGCTTTCATTCATTGGGTATCCTCACCAGTAAAATGTGAAGTCAGGCTTTATGAGAGACTGTAAGTATTTTGAAATCCAGTCTTTGTTGAAAACACGTTTGGATATTAATAGTCAATTGAAGGAGATGCAGGTTCAATGTACTGTGTGCTTTCCAATGTCATTCTGATGAAATCAATCCTTTTAATATCAATATTATTTATTTAATAATTATTGTAAGTGTCTTTAAAGCAAATTTTCTTAACCAACTCTGAGGGAAATTTTTTGTGTTGAATAACAAGAAGATTTTGAGCTTGGAGCAGACAGAGGTTTCCAATCCATAAGATAGGTTCTCCAAAGTTATATATAGGCAAATGAATAAAATGAATCTTTAAATCCTCACAGATTTAAACACAAGAATCCTGAGGACCCAGCTGAAGTACCTGGTGGATTTATAACAGACTGCAACAAGGTAAAATCTGTAACTACACATATAATCTGGCCGTGTCGTGGATGCTTGGTAGTTGATGCTTATCTTGTCTTATGTACTTGTGTTGCCGGGCAAGATGCTACTTTTACAACATACATCCGTACCTCTATGTCAAACAGGTCTATAAATTGATTATCGCCAAACTTTTCTGTAAACCTGACAAAATTCTTTTGTGTAACTAAAAGAATAGCAGCTTTTCCATCTTAAGGAGTAATATCTTTATGACTGTCAGTGTGTTTAACTGACAGAATCTGAAACTAAACGATTTATCTGATAGTTATAATGACCATAGCAGTACCATAACTTACTGTAATAAAACTTTATAATTATTAATTATTATAATTATTGCAGTAATAATTAATAATTCTAATTCTAATTGTAATTTATCATATTATACTCTGTCATGACAGGACTCTCTTACAGTAATCCCCGATGCACTGGTTGAGCACACAGTGAAACAAGCTGCAGTTTATGACAAATTTCAGTTTGAAAGAATTGGTTTCTTTAGTGTTGATCCTGACAGCAGTAAACAAAAGGTGAGGGCCTTATTTTTATCCAGATCGTATATTTGTCTAACTATCATAGGCCGCTAGGGCATGCAAAGGGTATCAGTTACCTTCAAACTGTCTTCCATAACATGCAGACCTTTGGTATTAGTAGCCACTCAGCTGTGTCCTATTTGAAATCCATGAATCTGATTGGTTCTCTCATCATTTTCTATTGGCTGACAGACAACAATTGCACATGCTGCAATTGAAAATAAAAATTAATTCTAGGCTTAAAACAGCTAGACTACACGTCCTAGTTTTCTATGAGCAATAAATTAAGAAAAAATAAATAAAATAAAATAAGATGTTAAATAAAATGATTGTAGTATTGAAATCATTTTAACATGACAGATGATATTTTCTTTTTTGCTTACCTTGGCAGCTGGTGTTCAATCGAACAATCTCTTTGAAGGAAGATCCTGGGAAACTTTAACAGACAGGTTCTGACCATCAACATGAAGGAATTCACAACATCAACAAAATGATCACTGGAGAACGGAATCTACAGATTTTAGAACCTGTACCAAAATTACCTCATTAGCCGAAGAGTCTTAATTTTGACCAACCAATGGATGTTCCCAGGACAAATATTTTTGTGTATCAACACAATATCATAATATTTATAATATTATATATATAATAATTCATTACTTAAACGTAAAATTAAATTTTGCACTTTGGGAGTGGCCACTGGTACCAATGTACATTTATTTACAAATGCCAGTGTTTGAAAGCTTTTAGAAAATAAGTTTCAGTAATAGAAGTGATCTTTTATTAGGATATCTTTGTGTATGTCAGTCTATTTCAATCTCTTCATTGATGCACGCTAATCAAAAATTAAATTTAGTCTTCAAAAACTCATAGATGTGATAAATACTTCTAGGTTTCTCCACTTGAATACTCAAGAGTATACCGGTAACTAGAAAATTAACTAATATTAATGATATTGCATTGGTTACCTCTAATATTGTTAGGGTGTAACTTGTAATCCTCTAGCATACCATGGACATAATATATTAAACATGAATGACTGTGTTTGACCACTTTTCTGAGTACTGAGAAAAGAGTTGAAAATGCAATTAATAGCAGATGATTTTTGACGAATTTTGAGGTGTTTGGAAATGTGGTCAAATGCTGTCTTGAGAGTTTGATAGATCTTCCCAATCAGAACCAAAATTGAGGAGAAAACAGAAATAAAATCGTAAAAATAAATGCTAATAATTGATTAGGACCAGATATCCAAACACCATCACAGTCATGAGTTCCTTGGTTTAGACTGACTTAATAACAGGGTTCATACGGGTCCTGGAAAACCTAGAAAGTCCTGGAATTTTATTGCGGCATTTTCCGGGACTGGAAAGTCCTGTAAAAGGGCTACTGGTCCTGGAAAGTTCTGGAAATCTGTTAAACTCAAGTAAAAAACTATGAAATGTATGGTAGACAGTAAGGAGAATTAACATTAAGATCTTGGGGGTGAAAGGGTTAATGTGAATTTTAGAGTCTGGGAAAACTCAATCTGAGTCCTGGAAAAGTCCTGGAAAAGTCCTGGAAATTTGTTTCTGAAAAAGGGTACGAACCCTGAATAATGAATTATTAATGAATTTGAAAAATAATTATCCAGTGAGTTCACAAAATAGTACTGCAGCTTATTTTTAAATATAATACTTTATGAATTTCAGTTTATTGTAATAGATTAAACATGAGAAATTCTGCGCCTGTGCTGCTTTTAAATTGTAACATCTTCCTATCTTCTTCATTTTCCTTTCACAATGTGAACATAGTTAATAAGACCTCACCATAAAGTTAATATTTTCTTAATCAAGGTACTTCATAACAAATGTGGAACGAGGCAGAGTCTGAGTTGGTTGTGGACAAAGAGACTAAACTTTCTAAGAGGTAATAATTTATTTGAGTAGCAATTTTGTGCTAGTCATTCAGTTGACAATAAAGCTTTGGCTTTGTAATTTATTCATTTTGTGATCACTTACAAAGCAGGACTAGTGTCGAAAAAACCTGCAACACATTTTTGCATGTTACATGACTTGCTACAAAAATTCCATGGCGCAATACAATAGGCAAAAATCTGGTCAGTATTCATGCATGTTCCTGGTTGGTTGGGAAAAGGAAGACATGACATTTTTTCAGATAATTTTTCAACACTTTGCTCAAGTTTGCTTTACACTCTGGTGTAAGGTTACCATCACTGTCTCCCTGACGGGGCTGGTGCTAGTCTGCTTTTCGAGGGAGATGAACTAGCTAAATTAAGTGTCTATATGTACATGTACCTAACGCCCTGCATGGCCAGGCTTTTTCTCTCCTCCCCCCCCCCCCCCCCCCCCCC